ATCCATGGCTTGATCCGTGCATTTTCTGGCCAAATCGCCGGTGAAAGAATACGGTCGTAATAGGCTATTGGTACCGCCAGTTTGTATGACCTATATCTGCCCTTAGTTTTCACTTCATCAACGACACATTTTGCCAGAGGACACAGTTGCTGCAAATATGCTGCAATTTCATCAGGGCCGGACTCCATATTCCACAAGTGTATGTTTTTGATCTCTTCGGCCGCCCTGAGAGAAGTAATGTTGGGCCCAGCAGTGCAACGAATAGAACTCTGCCGTTTTTTACGGTTCGGTGGACCATTGACCGTAGGAGTATCAGTTGGAGTAGGAGTACATGTCTGTAAAGACTGAGCCGCTAATGACCTCCACCGCACCGGATTTTAAATCGGTCGAGTACTTTTTGAGCCTATTCATTACAAACATACAAATTAGGTACAAATCTTTCCTCTTTATAATATTACTATAGATATAGATATAGATTAAAATAGGTGAAAGAAAACATTGTAAGGAAACTAAGAATTTCTAATTATAAGGTATGAAATACCCAATAGGCATTTAGCAGGCCTAGTGATTAATTCTCATTCCTTTGCCGTGTGAGAAGAAGCCTTTGCTAAACAGTTGGGATTTATAGGCTGTTGTTAATGTGTAAACAGATGTGGATTGCCACATCTATTGAGATTCATCCTCCGTCCATCTTCTTCATGGATCAGAAAGCGTACAAGCCTAATGTTCAGGCAAGGCGTTCCGGGTTCGATTCCTGGATCGGGCAAAGTACAACTGGGTTCTTAAAAATTTTCAGTGGTAGCACGGAAGTCTGGAATTGTGCCCGGTATATGGCAGTTGGCTCACCCCCTATCACATGGGACTCATAACATAAATAGTGAAAAGTGGGTGTTACATTGTACAGTGGCATTAAGTTCCGAAATGTATATAGTACATCTGCCTATGTATTATGTTTTACTAACATAATAATTTAAAAAAAAAATCTATACTAATAAGGTAGGTGGGGACCTATTGACCAGGGCATGATAAACTGTGTAGGCTAAAACAAATCGATGACGATAATGCACCCTAATTCTATAAAGGTGAATAATTGTACTTTTACAGCGAAGGCGTAGGACGTGCGTGGGCGAGCGTGGGCCGGCCGCGATATCTGAAACCTTGGTACAAGTTTGTTTTACGTTTACAATAATCGTAACGAGTACGCGTTCGGCGCTCTGATTGGTTGCTTCATTGGTGCCGGCCAATCAAAACGCCGAACGCGTACTCGTTTCGAATACTTTAAACGTACCTAAATCAAACTCATACTAAGGCCTCTTAATAGAATAATCGTAACTACTCGACAATAGTTTTATTGGCATTTTTATTAAATTTTGTAAAGTAAATCTTGCGGAGCGGAATCATAATATCAAGCCTTTTTATGATTCTATTGTTATTATTTGATTTTTTGACGTGGCTCGATGCGATCGCTTTTTTTTTTATGCTCTACGTAAATAGTTATTTTTACATAACATAACATCATGCGTCTTATCCTCGAAAGAGTAGGCAGAGGTGCACACAGAAGTAACACCCACTTTTCACTTTTTATGTTATGAGTCCCATGTCAAAGTCAAAGTCAAAGAATTTATTTCAATTAAACCATAATTTGGTACTTTTGAAACGTCAACAAATACAAAATAAATAATAGTCTGTCAGTCAGTCCGTCAGTGTAGCTAGGTGAAGCTAGGTGCTCATTCCAAAATGTAGATTCGAATGGAGAAGAACGAGCAAGAAACTACATTCGTTACTCTTTTTGAAAAGTATGTTCTACAATGTCTCTGATACATATTCCCATACTCTATGTATATGTGAGAACAATGCAAAGACACGCTTGACATAGGGGGTGTGCCTATTGCCATATACCGGGCACAATTCCAGACTCCGTGCTACTACTGAGATTTTTTTTAAACCCAGTAATTCTTTGCCAGACCCACAACTTTGTTTCAGTAACAAGACATACCAGGCTTAGTATAGGATTTGAAATTAGGTCGGTGTATGATATTAGGGACAAATAGAGTAGAAAAGAATAAGTGCTTCTGATCCCTTTCGAAGAATTAAAGACATTATTTATATAACATCTACATTCAGAACCGGAAATCTTATTACAATAATGATTTTATTAACTATATAATTGAAGACGGAATAATTCAACAAGATAGTAAATAGTAATGGATTCCAATTAATATTAATTGCTGTTGGTTTACCAGTAAATAATTGTTGGCTGTAAACAGTTTAAATAATTCAACCGTTAACCTTGAACTATCACCGTTCACATTTCAAACTGAATATAAAGGTGGTCCCTCACCGCGAGTATCGTAACGTTACAGATCTGAGCATTACATCAATGAAGGAAGAGAACCGAGCATTACAATGCGCACCTTGTAATGATACAATGTGTAATATCTTGATACAATATATAACATCAATGCCCCCCACCCTCCGCCCGCCCGATAAGTGTGTTGTCAAAGTCGAATTAATGTGTTACATTACACGCAAATGCTCGTTAGTCAGGGAGGTATTGTAATGTAATGCTCAAAGTCAAGTCTATATGTTACATTACACGTGAATGCTCCCGGTGAGGGAGTACCTTTAACTCAATTCATGGAAATATAATCGTACCTAGAATATCTAAAATTGATGCTCATAGGGGATATTATTCCCAAAGGAAATATTTTCTAGATATTTTTTTAACCAACCAACCATTGTAATATGTCATTATTATTAACTAACTGTTGCCCGCGATTTCGACCGCGCGGAATATGATTCCTATTTTATCTCATGGGAGCATTAAATCGGGATAAAAAGAAAAAAAAAATTACATAAGTTAGTCCATACCCTGCCTGTATACCAAATTTCATTGAAATCCGTTCAGTAGTTTCGGCGTGATTGACAGACAAACATCCAAATAAAGAAACTTTCATATTTATAATATTAGTATGATTGTCATTTCTTTAATTTTGACCTCATACAATTTTAAGGTGCTTCCTCACCGAGAGTATTTATGTGTAATGTAACATTATAGATTCGACTTTGAGCATTACATTACAATAATACCTCCCTAACCAACGAGCATTTGCGTGTAATGTAACATATTGATTCGACTTTGAGCATTTCATAGCAAACATTGTTGTATCAAGATATTACACATTGTATCACTACAAGGTGCGCATTGTAATGCCCGGTTCTCCTCCTTCACTGATGTAATGCTCAGATCTGTAACGTTATATTTCAGGCGAATGCTCCCGGTGAGGGAGCACCTTTAAAGTATTTAACCAAACAATGCACAAAAACATACAGACAGTGTCAACATTTGCAATAAAACAGCAATAAAATACATCAATATAAAACCCACAATAGAATACAATTCCAATAAAATTTTTCCAAAACACTCACTGCGACAGAATAAGAAAAACTGTAAACAGAAAACGAAATAATTGAATTAAGTAGCGTGTCTAGTTAAAAATTTCCAACATTTTCCGGTAATTAGATCCAATTATGAAAGGAGATGAAAAATAAGTTTACATGTACTATAGGTATAATAAAATTAAATTTGTCGCCATCAAATATTGTCGTGTTTCGTCTACTAAAGGCGTTGTGTGTCCGTAATTAACTAATCTCGCGACTATAAAGAGAAGCTTTTCCCCACCCTGCCGAATCGACATGTGCTATATGAGAATTAGGGTTGTTACTTTATTCATAATTTCTGACTATTTTTTAGAGTTCGTAGGTTCTTTTTACGTTTTTGAAAATTATTTTTAACTTGGTGACATCACTATTTGGAACTTAAACTATACAAACATGAAATAAGCAAACAATTTCACTTGACTTGAATAAACATTATATTGCTGACAAATTAAACCAAGTTACTAGTTATATTCCGCAAATTGTACTCAACGTGAAAACTATATCAATAGGTATGAGAACTACAAAAAAATTTGAAATACGACCATCAATGTCTCGAAAAACTCATTTAAAGTTGTACAATCTGAAGAAATAATATTACTAGGTATCTGTTAAAACCTCTTTAGTAAAACAAACGGAAAGGCGTAGGCAGACAACAGACGAAAACTTCCTGGAAGTACTAAACCCCAACGGAAAATAGGTAAAAGCATAATATTTAATTCAATCCACGATGAGTACTCACAAAACTTTAATATAATTTGGAAACCAGACGAGACGTGGCGACGGAAAATCCAACGAGTATCAACCCTAACACGAGCTGACTCACGTTCTGTTAACGACAACATTAATGAACTATGTCTATCTCACTCCCTTCCATACAATCCACGCCTTGCTGTACTACGCGAGTAAGAGATGGCGATAGTTTAAATTATGTTATGGGGTGGGAAAATGTGACGTGAACGGAATAAAAATATGGCTTGGCCAGCATACGGCGTACAATGACGGAATCGAGATATCAATGAAATGTTACAGTATTTTAGCTAGTATTTTGTAACTGTTATTTTTGTGAACACCAAATATTATAATATTATCACAATGCTACATCCAAAATAGATTAATACTTTAGAGAACAGTTCCTAAAGTATTAATCATACATCGATCAGGTATCGGTGATACTGTTATTACCTTATTAGGAATTAATTGGCTGAGAGAAATCTTATATCATAGGCAACTAGAGCGTCCAAATTTTTTTCTGTATATATTTATCCTTTTCTGACTCTCCACATCAAAAAACATTTTTAAAAAGTCGAGGCACACTTGCTAATTATATAAATTTCACTTTACATAGCTGCCTTACAGCGTAATAAAGTTAACACAAAAAACACATAAAAATTATTCAACTAATATTTCTACCAAACCTCGGTGATTTAACAGAACAGGAACGCATAACAATATTAGTATCGTTACGCGCATGTTCCCCATCACTAAGCCACCCCTAGAATGTAACAGGTAAAGGTACAAGTAACAGTAGCCAGCCCTGTCTTTGCAGTTTCGCTCCGACGGCCCGCTGGCACGGACGCGCGGTCGTGGTCAAAGTACTTAACAAAAATATTTTTTGGCCTTCTATGTTTTAGAAAATAACACTGTGTACTATAGCGGTCCGTGCGAGTTTCGGTGTTTTGCTGTATCGGTAAGTTCTTTTTTAATTGATTAGTTTACAACTTATGTTTTTGAGGCGGCAACTTTTTTACAGCTTTGAAAAATTGAAAATATTTCTACTGTATGTAATAACTGATACTTCTACTTACTATAATAATAATAATAATTCACGAAATACGTAAAATACTATGACCTATAACGGAGCAATTTTATAATCTTATCCTCCTATTTCACGGAACTATCTCCACAGCACTTTAATCAAGAACAAAACAAAAGGAAATCTCAAACAAAATAGTACAGAATATTCTGAATAAAGCCAGTGGAAAATTAAGGAATGAAAAGACGTAATTCCACGTCTCGATAACAAAGGAACGGAGTATGTAATAAAACTGTTGCGCGCTAATCAACAAGTTGGGAAAGGTTTCGGATTTCGTCTAAAAAAGCACGTATTCTGCCCTACTGTGTAGAAAAAAGATATTATCTTTTTCACACTTACTTTTTGGAGCAGCGTTTTATATAAAATGAAGAATTTTCGTGTGTTTTCAAGGAGAAAAGATCATGATTGTGTTGCCGCCCAACGAGGGACTTGTTTTAAGTGATTTTGTACTACATTATTTTTATTCGTCGATTCAATCATATTTCGTCACAGTACATTGTTGATTGAAGATGACCAGGATTTTAAGAATTGGTTAAAAAATAATACGGATTTTTCGGAGATGGTAATAAGATATTCTAAGGTTTTAAAATGATCATCGTTTTACAGTAACTGATTTCGCAATATTCTATACAACGATTCAACTTGTCTCTGAAATACTGTTCAGCAAGACGTCTGCTAATATTAAAACAAAAAAATAACATCTGTATATAGGTTGTAGGTACTAAAATCGATATTAAGCTTGCCTATAGCAAGCTTGTGAAAGTCGATTGAAGAATGGGAAAAAAGATAGGCGTTTAAGACAAAATACTTTATAGGACAATTGCGTCATCATTCGCTTTAAAAGGTTTCGTACATCGAAACTAACTAGCCATTTTCCAAGCCCATTTCCCAAACTATTACTCACCGATGTCCGCCCAAGAAGAACCGCACAAAAACCATTATTACCATCAGTATAGAAACGATCTGTTGCAAGTAAGGAACCGGGCAGTCAGGTAACCATTTAAGAAGCTTACGAAAACTCCACTTAATCTCACCGATTTATCTTCAAAGGTAATAAAAATACCTTCAGAGCGAAATAAGATAATAATAATAAAATATATTTTTCCTCACGAACGGTTCTTAGCCACCGAAATCACTTTATCACTTGGTGAAAACGTTAGAAGTGGCGATTAAGGAAATTTATAAGTAAAAACGGCCAAATACCGACTTGTTTATTTCGTTTTTATACTTTTTCTTTAAGAATACGGAATTAAGTTTAGTAAAATATATTCGTATTTCTAGACTGAGTCTTACTTAGAACATGTTTGTATCGATTCTAATGACCTGCCTGAAAAATATTTGCCTTTTGAAAGCACTAACAAAATTGGGTTTTTAAATTAGTTACTACTTATTGGACAAAGCGTTAGTCAACTTTTACTATAAGACAAATAAATATGTAACTTACTATACGCCTATATTCACAGACGGACATATGGACGAACAATTAAATTTTTGACATTACAAAAGTGCCTGATTAAGTAGAAATAAATGCTTAAACTTTGATTCAATTTATAATAACATAATTATACAAAAAATGAGAAGTTCTGAAAATATTACATACATACGTGTCGAATTGATAACCTCCTTTATTTAAAATCAATTACAATATGGTTTACTACGATAAGACGGAAAACACCATCAGAGAAAAACTCGATCAACCCTGTATAAGGTTTAACCTTAACAAAAGATCCCGTGTACCGGTACCATTCAGAAGCACCGCTATAACTCATCCAATGAAAATGTCCATGATGCAGTCGTATTTCATGGTTGTGGGCATGAAATATTTGCCCTGTAATATAAATTGCATGGCTAGGCGTTATGGGGCTTGACCCGACACGCCATGTTTCAAACATCTAACAATAATAATTATGAACTCCATAGACCCCCCACAGTCATATCATAAAAGTTATATTCTGTTATGGGGTCTGTACTTCACTTATTTCATTTAAGAGTTTGTTGAAATTAACGTGGGGTAGGGGTAGGTAGTAATGCACTCGTTTTACCCTTGGGAAGGTAAATGTGGATTATGTGCACCATATTTTCGCTAATTCATGGTTTAAAATTGAGTTTAAAAATGGGTGTTACATTGTACTTATATTATTATGTTTGGGCTATCAATAGTGCCATCATTAATTCCTCAAATATTCGTTGTCATGATTAAATAGACAGATTATAAAATTATTTACTTAACAGCGCCATCTCTTTTATGATTCCTTAAATAATAAATTTCGTTGTTGTCATTAATAACACACTTTGTTACAGCTGCTTGTTTTGATAAAACGAATGTAATAAATTCTATAAGATTATTACTACACGACTGAAGTAGCAAACGAAGTAATAGACCGTTCTGAAAAAAGTACGGTAACTGCTTTTTTAAACTGTCAAACACCAAGCGGTCGCCGGTGACCGCAACCTATTATTCTATAATTGTGTCTACAAAACCGGTACTCGACGAGTTAAAGCTACAAAGGCTACAACTTAAAGGCTACAATAACTAGTAAAGATGCATCAAACCAAAAGTATTACTCGAACATCGTCAATTTTGGTACAAAGTCTTTTGCTAACCCCGGTCTACCAGAATAGATCTAAGCAAGACACAACATGCTTTTATAGTATTCCAAGTAACGGATAAAACGTTGATAATCCTAAGAAGAATAATAGTTTTTATTAAAATGATTACAAGTCGATAATTATCGACTTGTAATCTAGTGAAATTATAATTTTACTAGACGTAAAATTCTCAATTTTTAGATAGAACATCTTACTAAAACATTCTATAACAGTCATTGACAAAATAAATGTTCTTAGAAATCCTCTTATAAAACCAGTTCAGCGATATTTTTGGTCTGAAAACTTCTAACTAGGTCTTTTATTTAAGTCTTAGCCTAGAGAGCGGTCTAGACTTTAGAATAGAAATATCTATTGATCGGCCTGTAAGCCTAGAAATGTAAGCCAAAAGTTTTAGCCATCTATAAATGGGACTTAGTTAAAAATAGGTTCAGATTTGAATCTGTATTACGTCACTTTAGTTGTGAATGTTTGGTCTATTTAATTTTTTGACTGACCGACGCCATTTACCCTTTTGAAAACGCTTTGTGTGTCAAATAGTTATATTTGTAACAACATAATATGAAATTCTTGATTCGGTCTTTGGGTCTGACAAATGATTTATGCATTTTTTATATTGAAAACCCTTAACAATTTATATTAAATCTGAAAAGTTACATTAACGTCATTTCAAATTAGTCACATAAAGAGTAAGAGATCCATTTCAATAAACATACAACTACTTAAAATAACTCTGCTTTCTAAAAATCACGGGTTACTCACGTTAATAATGGCCTAACGCCGCGCGACATCGCCGCGCCCGCTCACGCTGCTCATGAGAAAGAACCCCTCTGTGGTTCGAAACTAGTAGAGCTTGTCTCAATATATTCACGTGAGTAACCCGCGATTTTTAGTTAATTTAGTATTTCTCACGATAGATATTATAAAAACCCTGCTTCCGTTTTACACCCAGACCAAACCTAACTCCAAAGCTGAAACACATTCGCCAAAAGAAATTAAATAGAAGTACCAGCTGGACGCGTCTGCGGTGTAATGAAAATATTATAATTTAGGCAGTGGGTCCGCGAGACCCTATTTCGGGTGACCTGAGGGTCTCCCCGGCCCAATCCAACAGGCCATAGCTACAGAAATAACACGAAGAAATTGAAATGGCTGACCCTTTTCGTTTAACTGTTTAGCTGTTTTCTGAAGATGGAATATTTATTTTTTGCTATAAAAGCTTTCTGTTATCCCTGCATATCGTTGGGGTTGCGGATTGTGTATGTAGCGGTATATTTAAGTATTGTGTATAGTATACATATGTACGTTCACTCCAGTCTATCCCTTTGAGGGAAATTGCCTAAAATTATGCGGTTTTTTGAAGGGATCTGTAGGTGCAGACATTTCTTATGTAATTTTATCGGCGGTTTGCAGAGCGCAGTGATTACTTTTTCGCAACACATTTTGAAGGGGGTATATTTTACATAATTCTTATGTATTAAACTTTTTACCTTGTTGGTTGAGAAGTTCTAAGTGCAGCCAAATGACATTGCCTTAAATTAAAATCAATGTTGCGTAAAAGGTACATAAATTTTCTTTTGTTTCGTTTGTATTGACTCTTGGATTCTTACTAAAAAGTAAGAATCCAAGAGTCAATTTATGAAAATAGATTTGATATACTTAAAAATTAAGTCTAAAATCGGTTACCAAACAATTCCACTACGTATTTAATACACTATAGTATTATCGTCTAACATTTCAACGAACATTCAGAAATGTAGTTACGCACATTGCGCGTTCATATTTTATGTACAGACCCAATGTAATCAATAAGTCGTAACATACATCAAACTATTTCTGTAACTGTAGTTGAAATATTTATCGGCAATACATTCACACAAAAGATTATATTGTGTTGTCGTGACTACCTCGCTGGCCGAGTGGTAGCAAGTGCGACTGCCGGGCAAGGGGTCTCGGGTTGATCGGCTAAGTATTACTGGGTTTTAAAAAAATCTCAGTAGTATCACAGAGTCTGGAATTGTGTCCGTTATATGGCAATAGGTTCACCCCCTATTACATGGGACTCATAAACGAACATAAACAGTGAAAAGTGGGTGTTACATTGTACAGTGGTATAATGTGCACCTCTGCCTACCCCTTCGGGGATTAAAGGTGTGATATTATGTTATTATACCGTGTTGTCATGTGAAACTGACAGAATATTAATTTTAAGTGCGTGACGAATTCGGCACGGCTTCGGTACGAATGGGCCGGCTCAACCGGAGTGA